GAGCAAATATAAAATACTAGTGACCTAGTAACTAGCATAAATGCTTCTGTCGAGTGCATGGAAATTGTGGTCTGGAAGCATTAGAAACGCATGTGAATTCCGAAGCTTCTTCCTTCCTCGTCGCATGGCTTCTGCTGCGCCATTAACAGTGGCGCGCAGAGTGAGAGTCCAGTGGGCACGCACAGGATGGGAAATGGCAGAATAGCACAATGAAATATTTGCCCTTTTCGGTCAAAACCAAACTGTTTAATTTTGTATTTTCCCCCAGTTCCTGGCTATCTAACGAAACCATAGATACCTGTCAAAATGTAGAAGACTGCTTAATTTTCTGTCAATTTCTGCGCTCATTGGAATGTAGTAAAATAAATTGTGTAGGATGGGTGACTGTTTGGATTACACTGTTACCTTTTCTGTTTTTCGAATGACATCTTACTTTCTTAGATAGGATGAAAACATGAAATGACTGCTTTATAATTTTCGAGTCAAAATTGATAAATTTAAGTAAAGATCACTTGAGAAATTATTTCGACTACAAAGTAGTGGATATCAGCTTTAAAGAAATGTATTAAATACCTTTTTATCTATGTTACTCTGCTTCACTATTCGTGTGCTCTCTAAAAGGGGATTTTCAGCCAATTTAATGAACTGACTGGTAATTGTACTGAGAAATTACGTCGTGTACACCACACTCAGAAGCTGAAAACATCCTCCCCTTTCACAACGGAACCGACAATCTTAGCTATACGGACGAGTATCATTACGAAACAAGTATATCAAATCGATTACGTTTCGGGAACACATCGAACAGAAAGCTTGAAGGATCGATAAACCGTGGCCAGACAGCTTCCAACGGACTGCGGTAACGTGATTTTCGGCTTGAACGCCCAAACGCCGCGCCGTGGCGTTGCTGGAGGCGACGCGACGCAAGCGGTACGGCGGCGGCGGCACGCGCAGTGGTCCGAAAAGATGACGAGCATTTCATGCGTGGTTTTCATTGCAAGCATTCAACGGGCAAAGAAAAAAAATGTTTTATCGCGTATAAACAAAAATAGTAGTTTATGCAACTAATTTATAATATTAAGCTTTATTGTACGTATGCAATAAAGCATTATAAACGACTTGCATACTCTATTTTTTTAACTACCATATAAATTTATAAGACAATCAAAATTGATTTTTGGTAAACAACTTTATTGTGACGACGGACATCTCTGCGGAAAAACGATGGTGACACACCTCTTCTTCGGACGTTGTAACTTATAAATGTTTCTAGATTAATTATCGCGACAACCGGTTTCAGTTTTAACCTTTGAGCACTTGGTACGTTTAAGCAGTTCACGAAAATGCATCAAGTAGTCATCACGGGAGAGGAAAATACATTTTTTTGTGTTCCCGCAAAATAAGTAGAATTGAGTTGTGTTATGCTGTTCTTTAGATAGGATGTGTATACCGTATAAGTTCTGGACTGGTCAAAGGATTTTTGCAATTAATTCAGAGCATTGAATTATTTGTTTCTTTCTTAATAAACGCTTAAATTTATATTTTTCAGTGTTTCTGTTTCCTTTCGATAGTTTTTTTTTAGTGGGACAAGGCCGAGTGTCACTTAGAGCAATTTCCTTTTACACATAAAGTGAAGTCGTAAGATGTTTCATCCCTATTTGTAATGTGACCTTTTATTCTCAATCTCACAACGCGTTTCTTTCCTTTTACGCCAGTTGTCATTTACTTTACATCACCTACGTATGAGCCTGGAATTACTGCTGTTAAAAAGTGCACTATCTTATCTCCCAAGTTTCACAGCTTTTGAAAGCATTCACATCTTCTTGGGTGTTATTTTCCATTCTCTCCTTGTAATTTTCGAGGTGTTTCTTTTGTTTTCTCCTTTCAATTTAAAGAAAATATCAAATAATTTTGATCTAATGGAATTCATTAATTCATGAATGCATGAGACTTCTCATCAATGAGACTTACAATCAAATTCAAATAAAAACTTTTAACTCATTACTGCGGGATTCGATTATAAATTCTCTAAAAGATGAGTCTGAAGCCGTCTGCGCTTAGGCCGCTTACAATATGTTTCACCCACTGTTTCCCATTGAGTGAGTATTAAGTGATTTCGGGTGCGCCAAATATCGGATCTGTGGTTAGTTAGTGTAGTTGGTGCTATATCCAGGGAGGTGTCCCTCGCTGAAACACGAAACCAGGCGCTGACTGAAACAGTCCGCTTGCGGGTTTCCAGCTCCAGGTATCTCCACCAGCGGGACTTCACCCCAATCTGAACAAGGTGTAAGCTCCCAACATGCATGGCAGTGTAAATGTGTGTGTGTGACTGTGTGTGTGTGCATGCGTGCGTGCGTGAAAGGGGGAGGCGGAGGAGGGGGACAGCGATGAGGAAGAAATTGGCGCGCGCACTCCGGTTGCTATGGGCTGTTTTTCGTCTGCGGGTGCCTTTGGTCGGCGCAGTGTGGGGCGTGTGCGGCTCCAAGCGTTCCGCCTCGCCGCCTCCCCAGGCGCCGCCGCAACCGCCGCTGACAGCAGCCGCTTCCGCCGGCTTCCATTTCCGCTGTGATGCCTTCCCCTCGCTTCTCTCACGTTCCGGGCCGCCTGCTTCACAGAAAGCGAACAGCGTCAATTTCAGGCGCAGTTGATTTTCCGTCGCGAATATCGTCGCAGAGGTTTCTGCTCTGTTGGTTTCTTCCTGTGGTGTGTCCGATGTGTACGGAAGCTTCTGACGGCATTGCATCGTTTGTTTTTCCGATACCGCGGGTAAAATCTATTATTTATTTATAGACTAGGCAGTCATCGTATTTAGATTGGAACCTTTTATATAATTAGCTGTTAGACAAAGCAATGCAATATTCATGTATTTTATTCATTACTGGTGAGCATCGAGATTTTTACTATTTACCCGTTTACGTACGTATATTACGAGTATTATACGTAGTATAAGGAAATTTATGTAATGCTCCGGAAAATAAACTTCGAGATTTCATCGGAAATACACGTTTTGAGGTCCCCTTATACCGAAAGTTTTTTTTTTCCTTCGTTTTTTTAAACGTCCCAGACGTCCGTCTGTTCGTTTGTCTGTTAACACCACTAGCGCCTAAATTTTCGTAATTTTAGCGCTGAGACAATATAAAATAATTATTGGATTATTCCAGAAAGAAAACAATATCTCCCTCTCCTGTATGTCTCATCACTGAGAAACATTGCGTTTTAGGCTCTTGAAAGCGGGTTTTCATTAAATTGTGGTTCTTATGCTATAGTAGTCTACACAATGATATCATTTTGGGCGTTATCTTACAGTCTTTGCAGCACGGGTAGGCAGAAACAGTTGGTTTCCTGCATAAAGTTATTTTGTCTTTCAAAACAATGACAATTTACAAGTGCAGAATGTTCGCACGGGTACCTCAATTCTTATTATACTTTCGTTATCTGAAGTCCGACTTTACAATGCTGATATCAATTTCGTAATAAGAATGTTATAACGCAAGCATTTGAATAAATTGTCTACTATTACAATCAATTCAAGCGTCGAAGTAAGTATTATTGTTGTTCTAAGAATTTATGATCCCTTTTGCAATTCCAATCTTGTCACGTCTAATTATCAAGTTTGTCAATTGATTTAGCGTACGACCTACAAGTAAGGAAGC